ATGATATGTGGTCCTTATGGACATTATTATATGGCACTACGGTGCAATTCTACGCGGCACTCCGGTGTAATTCTACGTGGCACTTAGGTGCAATTATATGAGTTGTGGTGACAGCATAGTGCACAATCTCACAATACTCACATACCTTAGGTTCTCTGTATGGTACCATGGGCTAATGAACTTACTAAGGTGAACTTATGAATGTGAATTTGATAAGTATATGTGTAAGAAACATGGTTCTGGTTATTGCATTGTTTACATACATCTTATCATTGCAACTCATCTTATTTTGGAAATTACTTTATATTTATTGATATTATTATTATATTGCCTCACTAAGTCGATGACTTAGCGTGTGAGTGTTTCACACGTAGGATCTGATAAAGTAGACAATCGAGGTTAAGCAGCTGGACAACATTACTCCTGCAACTATCAGATCAGAAGCAACTTAATCAGTAGGTCATTTTGTTATGAAAATAGATGTTGGCATGTAACTAAAGAGTTAAGTTGTGTATGCTCTGAATATTTTGGTAAACTTATATTACCATATGTATATTATTGTATTTTTCGTAATATAAGTTCAAGTATTTTGCTATTATTTGTAATGAGTTGTGTTTTAAAAGTCAATGTAATATCTCTAACTCGTATCCGGGTTGGGGGTGTTACAAATGCATTGATGCATAAGGAGTGCATCGATGCACATGTTAAGGGATGCATCGATACACTGTAGAATGCATCGATACACTTCAAGGGGAAATTGAAATAGACATTTCTTTTGGTCTAAGAAATGATAGATTAGATTATATCAATTAGATACTGATATGTATCAATGTATGATTATGTAGATATCGAACATGAACAAGTTCCAGAACGATTATCAAGTTAAGATTCTATCGAAAGAGAGGCAATCGTAAAAGTGGATTGGAACTTAGTGAGGCCAAGATGAGTGCATATTATTAGATTGTGCATATTATTATATGGAAATTAGACTTGTGATAAGTTTGTTTACAATATTTTATATGTTTGCATGAATAGAAGCATGATTAAGTTGGTATTATGTGTATATGCTTTGTTCATATTATATGTTATGATGTGTGAATTTATATGATATGGGTTATATGGAAACGAAATATGTAAACTTGAATTAAGAGAATATAAGAAATTTGTATATAAATGAATTTATATAGGTGATATATGTTAGTATGCTACAATATATGTTATAGGATCTATGTAAGCATAAGAGAACAAAATATGAGCTAGGGGTTATGAATATAAATGATGATATGATTATGTACAATAAATTAGGGAATTATGATCTAGGTGTTTATATGTCTATAAAAAGATATAAGAACAATATATATAAGCTACGAAATAGGAACTGTGGGATTTTAGTGATATATAACATTATCTATGTGATTAAGTACAAATGTGATATCCATATATGACAATGATTTGTGAAATTGTATGAAAATGTGATATGATCTACGAGATAATAAATCATGTGAATTATATGGAAGTGATTTGTGTGTACATGTCTGATATGTATGATTTCACAAGAAATGACATGAGTTATGTGATTACATGATTATAAGAGATCAGACATGCGATAAGAGATAAGTGTTATGAATGTGTGAATATGAAATGATATAGATAATAATGCCCATGTTATGTGTCATGAGAGCTAGGGGTATAGTTGGCATGCCAAGAGTCGAGGGTCTACGCGGTCCTTCGGGACATATATGTATTCCTTGGAACATGTGTGATGTCTTTTGAGACACATACTTGATCCTTTGTATATGTATATGATTCTTAAGGAATTTTCTACGTGGTCCTTAGGGACATTTTATATGGCACTTCGGTGCAATTCTACGTGGCACTACGGTGCATTTCTACGCGGCACTACGGTGCATTTTTACGCGGCACTTCGGTGCATTTATACGAGCTATGGTGACAATATTTGTGCACAACCTCTATAGACTCACATATCTATAGTTCTCACATGTGTACATGGGCTAATAAAGAGATAACAATAACCATATTACATGTGATTTATATGCTTTTGTGCTATGAATTATATTACATGTTATATATGATTATATTTGGATTGTATGAATGAATGAGTCATATATTGATTAAAATGATAGGTATAAGAGGGTGTGGTTAAGGGATATAAATGATAATAATATTGATGGTAAAATAAGGCTAATGATGGAAATGATGAGTGATGAGTATATGTGTGTATGTTCTTACATGTAATTATATATTGTATAGGTGTTCTAGGTATTTGTTACATGAATAAGGATATGAGTGATAGGATATGATATCAGTGATTGCTACAACATTATTACAAGTTATAGTTACATTATATGTTTATTGCCTCACTAAGTCATAGACTTAGCGTGTGATTGTTTCACACGTAGGTTACAGAAGCGAGAAGAGAAGCGAGAAGAGAAGGGAAGAAGAGCAAGACAGGTCAGCATCTTCCTTACAAAATTTTAGACCAGAAAATAGATGATTTAAATGTGTTTGGTTAATTTGAATATAGTTGGCATGTACTAAGTGATTGAATTGAATATGCTCTGATCGATTTTGGTTATTTTGGTCAATTTATATAGATAAATCGCTTTTATTTTAATGAAAGTTTTAAATTTTCTTTGAATTTTGGTCAAGAGTCAAAGTTTGAAAAGTCAATATGACACATCAGACTCGTTATCGGGTCAGGTACGGGTCTGAGGGTGTTACAAAAAACGTTACAAAAGTCATAAAGAATGTGCCACAAGAACTGAGAAAAAAAGTGTCACTAGAGTTGAGAAAAACGTGTCACAATTACAATAAATTTTATTCAAAATTGAAAAGAAATAAATCAAGAAAAAAAAAACATAGTATGAAAAAACAAGAGATCTAATAATTATTAAGATTAGTTTCACAGTCGACTAAACAAAAATCAAAAGGAAAGAGGAAGGCAGTAAAAAGATATTGGGAAAAACACTTGTAAAGAGAAATCCTAAAATATTCAACCATGGCAAACTTAGACAACTACAACTATAATTTTTTTTTAGATTAATAAAAATTAAAATTCTAAAGCAAAAATAATTGAATGCGAAAATGTTGTTGTTGCTAACTTGTTAAAACCTAAGTACAAATGCGGAACACAAAATTATTATAGCCTCACACTTGTACTTCTAGTAAAGATTCACTCATCAAATTAGTTTACTAAATATATAACCTTCGGCCGACAATTCAAAAGGCATTTTTTATCTCAATGAAAATTTTAGCTTTTATTAATTTAAATATTTATAAAATTAAATTTTAATTTTTTAAAGAAAAAATATTTATTAGATTTCTATTAACTTTGTAAACGTATAATTTAGTATCTTCCACTATGATTTCATCCGTTATTATTATACTTTCTCTCAAATCTATAGTCTTCTAAAGAAATGAAGCTTCAATCAACTTCAACAAATCAATCATAATTTTCAAGATAATTGACCACATCATTTACTTTAAGGACATTTGATTCATCAAAGTTAGTAATATTATTATTGTGAGGAACGGCAAAGATGTGCTGCCGTTCAGGGTGAGTGTAGGGTGAGTTTGATTTTAGGGTTTAGGGTTTGGGTTTATGATTTTAGGTTTAGAGTTTGAGTCTAGGGTTAAAGGAATGATTTTGAGTTTTAAATTTTATTTATTTATTATAATCTAATGTGGTAAAATGTATTAATATAATATGCCATGTCATGGGAAAAATTAATAAAATAAGTAAGAGTGATTTAAATAAAAATAAATCAAAAGTTGAGTGATTAAATTGAAAAGTTTTAAACTTTAGTGATTAAAATAGGAGTGAGAAGATAATTAAGTGATGAATGATATAATTTACCCAAATATTAAAAACAAAATTGACATCATTTTAAAAGGATATTGGCATAATCTTTAAAATAATTGATATTAGAATCCAAATTTCCGATCTATCACTGTTGACATGAAAATTCATTAAATTATTTATGTTGAATTCTACCTCAATTTTATATTTAACTTATTATAAATATAATAATATTTTAAAATATATGCACATTTTTATACAATTAACATTTATGCCAATATAACTTATATATAATTACATTTAATGTTTTATTATATAATTAATACATTAAATATAGAAGTTTAGGAGGTCGACTCCATTGAGTGCAGGCTTGGCGCTGTCAATACAGAAGTGATGAAATCTCCTAGCACCAGTAAGGTGGGAATCACCTCGGAGTTGCATCGCCATGACATAGGTACGAACGACCACCGGATGAAAAGGGTGATGAAATGGTGCGGCACTCATTCTCCATCAATGAAAATACTGCCAATGAACATGAAATTGATGACCCCGCTACTCTGACCCTCATGAACCCAAAAATTCCAGATGGTACGTGGAATCAGAATATTACAATAATATATGAGGTCCAAAATAAAAGATGAGACTGCATGCAAAATGAAATTCCAGATGGAACAAATAATCAATCAAAATCAGGTTGTTAGAAGACACGAAGTCCAAAAATTGTATTCAAAGTACTAAATTTCTAACCAAAAACCAACATATTTTATATATTCTTTTTAGTAGTTTAGATTAATTACAAAATAATAAATGTTCAAAAAATTTATTGATCATTAACAATATATGCACACCAACATCTAAACCTTTCGTCTCAAAACACATGAATAAACATAAAATGATAAAATGAATATGTTGTTAAATACCATTCCATTGTTGACAATTGAGTGCCAAAATGTTATTCTTATTATAAATAAAAGTTTTAATTTCATTTTTATAAATAAAAGTTTTTATGAGATTTTAAAGTTTTTATTATTGTTTTTAATTACCTAAGAACTAGACATGTCTTGCCTTAATTTCAGTAAAACAGTTGGATGGTTATTACAGGTGATCCGTTCATAATGCAGCATCCTTGTTTCTTTTAAGAACACACTCGAGTTTTACAACATATCTTTGAAAATCAAAGTTGCTCATTTAAAAAAAAACAAAAAACAAAGGGTAGAAAATAAATGGATGATGAAGAGAAGGCTATCTTCGATCGCATCTTCAAGCGTTTCGACAAGAATGGGGATGGCAAAATCTCCTCATCGGAGCTGGGAGAGGCACTGCAGACACTCGGCAGCGTAACGGAGGAAGAAGTGACGTCGATGATGTCGGAGATCGACACCGACGGGGACGGTTACATTTCGTATCGGGAGTACATTGATTTTGCTGCTGCCAACCGTGGCCTCATGAAAGATCTGTCTAAAATATTTTAATTCTTTCATTTTTCAAGGTTTGGCTTTGTTGGGAGATTTAATCCTCTAACTCAATGCTATTTTATTTTTATGGATAGAACTTGTTGGTAGTTAAACTGCGAACCGTCTATTTATAATTACTTACTAGTTCTAATGAATTGAGCTACACATTTCCTTATTTTTAGACAATAAAATGTAAGAATTTATATTGTTATTATTATTATTTGATATAGTAAGCATTTATATTAATGTAACTTGCATGGGGTCCTAATAAGATGGAGCAATCTATATTATGATGTTTATCTAAGAAGCAGTTCCGTGGCTGGGGCGGTGCGAACTGTGCGACGGCGCAGGGCCCCAAAAAAGGGGCCCAAAAAAGTATATCTATAGTAGCGTTTTTTAATAAACGCCACTATATATGGAACTATTGTGACGTTTTCAAAAATAAAACGTCACTATTGTTGTAATTTTATTGAAAAAAACGCCACTATAGATGGATCTATTGCGGCGTTTGTCAAAAAACGCCACTATTATTACCCCAAAATCGAATATATCTAAAAATAGGGGCCCCTTTATAAGAATTTATACAGGGCCCCCGAAAACCTAGCCACGGCCCTGCTAAGAAGACCAACATTATTTTACTATCATTGCTCCAAATTTAAGTTTTATTTTGTTTATGAGTGTAATTAAATATTAAGTTGTTAAATTCAATTAAATATTAATTTTGGGCCTTTTTTGCTTCTGACTTTTTTGGGCCTTGAAGTCACTTTTACTCTTATAAAATGATTGCAAATTAGCATCATACATCAACACTTATGCAAATCCCGATTCTCTAAAATAATCTTCTAGTTAATTTTTGTGGATGGTGTCCAAAAAGAAAGCAAACAGTTCTCCTAAAAACATGGAATTGCTGTTTTTCCCAAGGGCCAACTTTGCTCTTGTGCGTTTTCCCTAGACCGTCCAACAGGAACATGTGGAGGATGATTTTCATTGGGTTCCCAAAAGATTTATCACAGTAATTATCGATACAATTCGATTAACCGTCTTGCATCTCATTAAATGTTTATTCCATGATTATTGACTTACAAGCCAGCATGAACAATGGAAAACAGTGGAATACTTCACATGCACAAGCGAAAGGAAACAATGTAGGAAGTTGCCTCAAAGCTAAACTCAGAGACGTGGGATGGAGGAAAATCCGCCGATCCTTATGCTGCGTTTCCCATTCTTTTCTTTCTCTCTTTTGTTATCCTTTAATCTTCTTCGATCGACCTGCCAGCTAACAATCCCGATGCAATCATATTATATTATATAAATTGCTATTTCATTGCGTCTATGCAATAACACCAGTATTTAATCTGCAGGTTTCTTGTAGACCTTGTGGGGAAGTTGTGTTTCAGTGGCACTTGCCAAGGACCCTACCTGCTCTCTTCAATCCTCTGAGCCTTACAGATTTGATGAAGGAGGTGACTTGAAAAAGCCTGGTGGGATTGTCAAGAATTTTCCGATGACTATTTCGGATTCCGATGGTTTCATGTTCCGGTCACCCAAGGAAGTTCACTCTTCGATAAACTTCAAAAGTTCAGTGTACGATGGTTTCATTCATGAGACTAATTGTGGATCTCTGCTTAGCTTTGAGCAAAATGACAAGGCTCTCCAAAGCACTTACTTGAAAACCAGCAGTCACAAAGATGATTATTCGATGTGGGAGGGTGGTTTGAGTCCGAATTATCAATGGAATCCGATGATCACGAAGAGCGGTACCGATCCTCGCCTGCTGGAAGATTTTAGCTGCTTTGAAACTGCCAGCAGTTTTAGTTCCATAACAAAAGAAAACAATGGAGATTGGTTCTACTCTGAAGCAGCAGTGGTTGCTGATAGTATCCCGGAGTTGCAATCACCCGAAGCACCTGGCGTCAAGCGTCCGAATACAGTACTGTTCTTTTCCATTCAATCCAAATAATTAACAGTCAATTCATAAGAAAGCTACTGATTTAACTGCCGATATATTTGGTATTTTATAGGGAGACAGCAACCAAGCTTTGAAGAAACAGTGCAGCAACGAAGCTAAGAAGGCGAAAACTAAGTCCGGTCCATCAAAGGACCCCCAAAGTATTGCCGCCAAGGTTTGTCGACATGTATTTTCAGTAAATTTGGTTAAGTTTGATCAAAAAGTAATCAAAATCCAGAATGAAAATGAACATATAGAGATTGTTTCCATAACCAGAATCGACGTGAGAGGATCAGTGAGCGGTTGAAGATACTACAAGAACTGGTACCCAATGGCTCCAAGGTAAGGAAAATGATATTTGCAATTGCATTCATGGTAAAAGCTGGAAACTGTATATATGTATTTACCTTATTGCTCATTTCACAGGTTGATCTGGTTACCATGCTAGAGAAAGCAATTAGTTATGTCAAGTTTCTTCAGTTGCAAGTGAAGGTGAGAGATTTTCAGCTTCTAATCATTGGGTTTTATAACAGATCTTTAACTTGAATTAACCATTGCATATGATAAATGCAGGTGTTGGCAACAGATGAATTTTGGCCGGTTCAAGGTGGGAAAGCTCCTGATATTTCTCAAGTTAAGGAAGCCATTGATGCTATACTCTCATCTCAGAAAGACAGGGAGTGATGGGTTGAAAGTTTAAGAGATTTTAATTTAGAATAATGTTAATTGAAGGACAACACCCAGGCAACGGAAAGCTTTTTGTTTGTGTGTTAATGGTGATTTAATGAAAAACATGTTGTAATAGATTTTTTTTTCTTTAACTAATTTGAACTAAGATCTTCAACTTAATCATTTTCCTTTACATGTCAGGCATTAAAAAGAATACATGCATCCATGTAGCCTTATGCATGAACATGTAAAGAATCTCCTCTTAACCCTATTAATTAACTCCGATTAGCTCTCTGCTAGTTTGTTCATATAAGGGGACCATCCGACTCAATATGACTTTTAACCAGGATTAATCACATGCTAATCCCACTTAAAGTGAAGCACAAATTTTTAATTAACATTCATCCAAAGCTCAAACCTGAATAGTTTAATTTTCATATACACAAGATAAACAATGTGGGGGCTTTAGCATCTTTTTGCCTCAGCAAATACCTTCAAAAGAATATTCCCTTTGATCATCAAAGAATTGAAAATAAAGCATCATGTGACATTGTGGAATTTGATAATATAATGTACAATTCCAATGGCTCAAATAATTGGACTTCATAAAATATAGGTATAATACAAAATTAGCTTTTCAATATTTGTATAAATGGTCACTTTGCCCTCTATTCACTTCTTTTAGAGTATTTTAGCTTTAAATGTTTTAATTTTTGGTCAAAATAGCATTTGTTGGATGAAATATTCACTTCTTTTAGAGTATTTTAGCTTTAAATGTTTTAATTTTTGGTCAAAATAGCATTTGTTGGATGAAATATATAAGTTGACTAACGATCAACACATATTGCTAAAGTGACATTTTCACATGTATTTAATTGATTATGTGACACGTGTCATATAACCTAAAAAGATTACATGACATATGTTACATCACCCAAAACAACAATGTAACATGTGACACATCACCTAAAGTAAGGTGATGATGTGACATGTGTCTCATAATTCAAAGTGATGATATATCATGTGTCATATAATCAAATTGTTGATGTGATGTATATATCATGTCATCAATTAAATATATATGAAAATATCATGTCAACAATATATGTCGATTATTAATCAATTAATAATTTTTTTTAATATTATTTTGATCAAAATTGAAACGTTTAGAATAAAATACTTCACATAAAGAATAATGAATAAAATAACAATTTATGCAAATATTGAAGGATATGGTCCAATCTGAAGGCAGACTAAGAATCAATTTAAAGATGTTTCATGTTGACAACTTTCAAGACAAATTAAGATTACTTTAATCAAAGCTTATTTATTTTATTTGCTTTGGAACATGGAAAACTACTGGCATTGGGAAATGGAAGTGTTGAAATATATATTAATATAAGGTGTAATGTGGGAATTTTGACTTGATCTGTCTTATGAGTGACACATAAAACATATATATTGGATTTCCTTATAACACATTTATTAGATAATTTGAATTGATTACAAGATATTTTTAATCTATTAATAATAATATATACACACATTGCAGACGTAATTGTTCAAACCTATAATCTTTAAAATAAATAATAATTTCTTTAATCACTTAAATCACTTAATGAATTTGTAAAATACATTTTTATATAATATAAAAATGCCTAATATTTGATAAACTAATACATTATTATCTAAATTCAATACAAAATCCGGCACAACCATCGAAATAGTAAATAAAATCTGCCAAGTTACTTTAAACACAAGGCACCTTAATTATTTTGATATTTTTACTTCACATTGCCAATTAAGTGGTGTAAGAATGTTTGGCTTGTTAATATGAGTATGAAGGCACCAACTTAAGTTTTATTAAAATTTAATTAGATTTTTTAATATTATAATGAACAAATCATTGACTTTTTCGATTGGTTAAACTCCACTAGAAATGAGCTACTGTTTAACAATGACAACATTTGACACCTGCTTTAATATATAAATTAAACTAGAATTCCATAGTATGTTGTGTTCATGCCTGGTCACTTTTATAATGCTATGCACATTTTGTGCATTTATATGTATTTTAAAAATATGAGTTGATTATAAGGTAGTTTCGTAATCATTGATAACGCATACACATTATGCAAACGCGTTTACTCGAATCTAAGTCCTCTAAAAAATAACATTTTCTTTTACCATTAAAATACTCAATATATTCATATGTATATATTGAATATTCTTGTAGGGGGTAATACACATTACCAGCTTCTACATAGTGTTGAGATGGAAATCACATGTCCAATCCCATTAAACCCGGTTCAACCTTTCCCATAGAAAACTTGACTAGACCCAAAGGGTGTTTATTTGTATGCTACGTACGAAATTATTTTTTTTATAAGATTGAGTGATATATTTATTACTTAATTTGCATTAAGCTGCATTTAATATATTATTTGCAATCTCCTAATTAAA